GGTTACAATTCTGCCTGGGGAAGAGGAAGAGGCACTTGGTACAACAAGTGGGATAAGCCCACCTCATCCAGGTCTACCCGAAGGGGAACCTTAGAAGAAACTGGGAATTACAGAAAAGGTTTTGGCAAGAAAGGAAAGTTGCAGACCAGTGTCTTAAATGTGGGGACCCCGACCACATTGTCCCTTATTGTCCTGATTAGAGGATGGCAAAAGGGAACAGCCAGTAGAGGTCTCAGTTGCCTCTACAGGGACTTCGGGTGTTGAAAAAAAGAAATCCTCCCATTCGAAGGTCCCACTCGCAGAAACTGAAGAGGTAGACAGTCCCCATCTAGTACACTGTCCAGAGGTGACAAGCGTATGCATCTCTCTATATGGATCCCTCGCTGGCGTGGGTGATGAGTTGGCCGCTCGTCGCCAAGCCTGGACTGAAATGAAGAAACAAAAAGGACAGCTAATAATTGCAGATCTTGAAGTCAATAAAGCAAGAGTAGGAGGAATGATAGATAGTGGTTCTACACGCAACTATATAAGTAAGAAAGGTTTATAAAAGATGCGACTAGGGCTAAAGGTTAAACAATTAGATAAGCCCGTAGTAAGTAAATTGACTAATAGTACCGTAACTGTGATGGATAAATATGTTGAAGGGGTTAAGATATACTTCCGGCTCGAAGCAGAGGGGAAGGTGGAACGTGTTCTCCACTCTCTGACTCTCTTGGTGGAAGAGAATCTTCCTTTTGACATTCTTTTAGGTATGGATTGGGGTGAAGCTGCGAATGCGGACATAAAGATGAGGGATCATGAGTGTTGGCTTCCTAGTCCGCAAGGCGGAAAGAAGAAGATCCGTCTATTCCATGAATCAGGTAAGGAAAGCAGCTTAGCTCATTGTTGTATGAATGCCCCCGCGTTCCCTCGCTATGTGAAAAAGTTTAATCTGTATGATCAAGTATTTGTTGCATATGTGCGCCCAGTAAAAGAGGATGAAGCTAAAGAAGAGGCCAAGTCCCCAGAGATTGAGAAAATTCTGAAAGAGTTCGCAGACGTGGCAAAGGCCCCGAGCGGTGTGGTAGAATGACCAATCAAACATCGCATCGAAATCATACCTAGAAGCTCGATTCCTAAGGGGCCTATATATCGGATGTCACCTAAAGAGTGAGATGAACTACGAGCTCAGCTTGATGAGCTGTTGGAAAAGGGGTGGATAAGACCTAGCTCCTCACCCTACGGTGCGCCTGTACTATTCGCGCCAAAGAAAGACGGCGGGGTACGCATGTGTATAGACTATAGAAGACTTAATGATATAACAGTAAAAAACGTTGAGTCATTGCCGCGTATAGATGATCTGCTGGATCGTGTGCAGGGATGCAAATATTTTTCAAAGATTGATTTGAAATCCGGCTACCATCAAATTGAGGTAGAGCCGGAAGACCAATTCAAAACGGCCTTCAGAACAAGGTACGGGCACTATGAGTTTGTTGTTTTGCCCTTTGGTCTTACCAACGCCCCTGCAACTTTCCAAAGAACTATGAATGAACTCTTTTGCGAGTGGCTGGATAAATTTGTAATTGTTTATTTAGATGATATTTTAATTTTTAGTAAAGATTTAAAAGAACATGTTGAGCATCTTCGACTTGTGCTTAATAAGTTGCGTGAAGCGAAATTGAAGTTAAACCCTAAGAAGTGTGATTGGGCCAAGCATCAGGTCTTGTATTTAGGGCATGTGCTTGATGGAGATGGAGTGAAACCGGAAGATTCAAAAATTGCAGCCATTAGAGATTGGTCGAACCCCCGCACTTTGACTGAGTTGCGGTCGTTCCTTGGGCTAGCCAACTATTATCGGAAGTTCGTTAAACACTTCACGATAATTGTTGCGCCCCTTCGCAAATTGCTTAAGAAAGAAATCATATGGACACGACTTCGTTCAAACGCCTAAAGAAATGTCTAATTAACTATCCGGTTCTGAAGGTCGCTGATCCTTATTTGCCCTTTGTCGTCACAACCGACGCCAGTGAGTATGGGATAGGTGCTGTACTCCAGCAAGATGATGGGAATGGGTACAGACCTGTTGAGTTTATGTCCCGACGACTGCCTAATGAGAAGGTCGCCGCTTCCACGTACGAGAGAGAGTTGTATGCTCTTCGTGAGGCTCTAGATCATTGGCGACACTATCTCCTCGGAAGACACTTCAAAGTGTACTCAGATCATGAGGCACTTCGCTGGCTCAAAACGCAGGTGCGGATGACACCTAAGTTGACTAGGTGGGCCGCCGAAATCAATCAATATGACTTTGAGTTAAAGCCAGTTAAGGGTAAGTACAACATTGTTGCTGACGCTCTAAGTCGAAGATCTGACTTTTTCGGTGCCGTCGTGACATATTTAGATATGGGCACCGACTTACAAGATAAAATTAGAAATGCGTATTCCACAGATCTTGTCTATGGCGCTATGATTAAACGTGTGCAAGACGCACCACAGGAGTTTCCTAACTACCGAGTTACACAGGGACTATTGTTTGAACAAACAGACGTGCATGACAGGCTTTGCATTCCAAATGTGGAAGAGATCAAAAGCCTAATCTTGGGGGAATGCCATGATACTGAAGGCCATTTCGGCTAGAAGAAGACTTATGCAGGCCTGTTGCGTTCCTACACATGGCCTCGCATGAAAGCTGATTGCATTGCCTATGTGCAAGGTTGCCAAGTGTACCAAAGAAACAAGAGCACAACGCAACCTCCCCTTAGACTACTTAAGCCTTTGCCAATTCCAACAGGTCTAGGAGACTCTGTATCCATTGACTTTATGGATACCAAGGTGAAAAGCAGGAATGGAAAAACGCAAGTCATGGTCATTGTTGACAGATTTAGTAAGTATGCTGTATTCGTAGCATTACCAGCGGAAGCCAAGACTGAATTAGTAATCCGGGAATTCTTTAACCATTGGGTAAAGGATTATGGACATCCCTTCATGATTGTGAGTGACAGAGATTCACGTTTCACAAGTGAACAATGGCAACAACTCATGAATGTCTATGGCTCTAAGTTAACTATGTCATCAGGAAGACACCCTGAAACAAACGGCCAAACTGAGCAAATGAATAAGGTTTTGCAGCAAACATTGCGCATGTACATACGTCCCGACCAGATTGACTGGGATGAACATTTGCCCAAAGTTGCTAGTGCTTATAACAACTCTGTTCACCTATCTACATGCAAGACTTCGATGAAACTGCATTTGGGATGGCGACCACGAAGACCCATTGATCGCTTAAATCCGGATTAAGTACATAAGCTTCCTCTAGGGACAAGTGAGTTTGCAATACAGTATCAGAAAGATATTGAAAAGGTAAAAGAAAATATAGTGAAAGCACAACACCAAATGGTGGAACAGGCAAATAAGCATAGGAGACCATCTCAATTTGTTGTAGGTGATTTGGTGTGGGTTAAGTCCAAAGAGTTTGCTCCTGAGGAGAACATTTCTCAGAAGTTACTACCTGCCTACAGAGGACCTTGGCAAATTCTTGATGTGATTGGAGAGGTAGATGGACCTTCTTATGTAGTTGAGATTCCTCTACATTTGCATACGTATCCGGTGTTTCACGCCTCAAAGCTTCTACCTTGCGTGACAAATGAGTTGTTTCCCAGTCGGAGATCGGCGATACCTCCTAGTATGGATGGGAAATATGACGTAGATAAGATTGTTGCTGAAAGCACTTTCCAAACCGGACGAAGAGGCAGACCCTCGCGACAATATAAAGTAAGATTCGCCTATCAAGACCCCAGTGAAGATCGCTGGTTTACAAGATAAAATTTACTTGTCTGCACCTCACATTGTATCTGCATATGAGAGAGCTAAGAGAGGAATAAGTACTATTGATAGATGAAGGTTTTCTCAGAGGACTTCGAATCTAGGCCGGCGAGAGTAAAAGGGCCTTTACCCGATTCAGCCCCTGGTCGATGAAAGCAGATCAAAAGACATGTTCTCTGGGTCAAAGGTCACATCCTAACTAAAGCAAAAAACATTGTCAAAGGTCACAGTTGTGCCCCTGGACGAACAGTTGCAATATTTAAATGTTTGGGTCACATTCTGTTCATCCAGGGGGTGTGCAAGTCATGTCTATTCATGCAAGGATGTGTCTGTACGTGCAGTCAATGTGTCTGTTCGTGCAGTAAAAGTGTTTGTTCTGTCTCTTATACACATCTAGATGTGTATAAGAGACAGGACATGTTCTCTGGGTCAAAGGTCACATCCTAACTAAAGCAAAAAACATTGTCAAAGGTCACAGTTGTGCCCCTGGACGAACAGTTGCAATATTTAAATGTTTGGGTCACATTCTGTTCATCCAGGGGGTGTGCAAGTCATGTCTATTCATGCAAGGATGTGTCTGTACGTGCAGTCAATGTGTCTGTTCGTGCAGTAAAAGTGTTTGTTCGTACAAAAGATGTGTCTGTCTAAAATGAAGTCAAAGAGTTAAGTCTCAGTCCAGATTCGAGTCCAAGGGGAAGTCTAGATACAGATGGGCAGTCCGAAATTGAGGCCTACAGCTGTCTCTTATACACATCTAGATGTGTATAAGAGACAGGTGTTGTATGATGAGGGAAACTTACCTCCTGTTGGCGCTGAACTCTGGAACTCGTGATACCCTTTGTATTAAGTGACATTGATAATATAAGCTGCGCTACTTGGTTCTTATCTCCTCTCAATCGGGTTTTGTGTGAGATCATTTTGTATGTGTGATGACATGTATGCATGCGGGATGATGCTCTCAAGCAAGCTGTGAACAGTCAGGTTCCTTGCAATTCAGAATCAAAGCATCTTTTGTCCTATTGCAAGACCATGAGAGCACTCGAGTTGCGACAGTACAACACTTAAGCAATTTGACAATTAGGCAGTTTGTTGGTTATCCTTGGGGTACCCCTTGTTCTTGCAGCTCCCCTTTTGCTGTGCCTCACACGTACAAGGCTGCCCACATTGATTGTGGTTGAGCGGCAGCTGCCCACATGCCTGTTTGCCTGAACTGCCCACTTGCACGTTATGAAAGGAGGCAGAGTAATGGGGAAGGTATACTCCTGTTCATTTCACTTCGGATCTTCAGCCTATACTCTGTCTGTTCTCTGAATGATGCTCATTCATATGTTATTTCCTAGTAGCACATAAGGGGAGGGTAAAGGGAAAAGGGTAAGAAGCGGAGTTCTGTAGGGAGTAAGGGGCTGGGGAGGGAGAAAGGGTAGGGGAGGGAGAAAGGGTAGGGGAGGAAGTGGAGTGCAAATGTTACATGCTGCGCCTGCAACAGGCTGCGCGGGCCATTTTCAGGCCTGTGTCGTTTTCAGCCCGAAAGCCTGAAAACAAGGGCCTACAGGCCCTGTGTTGTTTCAGCCTAAAACAGGGCCTTTCTGGCCCTGAGTCTTTTCAGCCTGAAACGGAGGGCCATTTTCAGGCCCTCATAAGATCGACGTGCCCTGAAACTCAGGCACCAGACCAGGGTTTTAGCTCAGGCCATTTTTGGCCTATTTTCAAGACAACCTTTGTTTGAGCCTCAACCCCAGGGTCTGGCACGTTTCGGCATTGGCAAGAGCAGCCGCCTGGACGGGCCAGCACTATATAAGACTGGCCCGCCCTGCAGGCTGCAGGTAGTTCCTAGGTACTTCCCAGGCACTTCACGTGCAGTTCAGGAGGCAGGAGGTAGTCTTCAGGATTCGGCAGCAGCACTCTGGAGGAGCGCTGCAGTAGTAGTAGTAGCGCTAGCAGTAGTCTTCAGCGCTGGGTGCTAGTAGCGTTAGCAGTAGTCTTCAGCGCTGGGCGCCATTCAGAGCTAGAGTAGTACTAGAGAGAGAGAGAGATTGGGCGGAGGCCAGAAAGACTTACCTGCAGCGCCATAGCTCCAGCTTCGCCTTCTAGGTACCCATCTTCACAGGTTAGTACCTGCCACATCAGAGAGAGAGAGAGAGAGTTCTTCTTCTTCCTCTTCTCAGTCCACCATCTCCCTCTCACCCTCTCGCTATCTGACTTCACTGCATCAGCAGGCTATGAGAGAGCGGGGTTGGTGACATTTGGATCCAGACTCGACATTGGACTTCAGACATTTGACGAGGGGTTATCTGGGACTTGTAACGAAGATTTGGTGTTGACGACATTCCCATCTTCCCCCTTCTTCTTTGTCTGATTCCCTCCTCTTCGTCTGTGTATGGTCTGGACCTGGCGCCTTCTTCCTGTGTGTAGCGCCAGGCCCCTTCACACCTTGTGATGAGGATGATGTATGTTTGGTCTGTATTGCGACATTGATTGGGCTAGTCATTGGTATTCTAGCATTCTGCTGTGCTGTCTTGCACTACGTGAGAGAGGTCAGTCCCGGTCAGGTCAGGGCTTATATCTAAGTCTTCCGCTGCGCCACAAGGCGCCATTTTGTATGTATCAGGATGTACATTGTTTGTTGAGATTCCACAAACACTGCATTGTCCATTCAGTCCCTTTTAGCACATTGCGGATCCTTGGCTATTTACATACATCGCCCAACTGGGCATGTAACAGCAAAGGACAGAACAGAGATATCATGAACTTCACAGGATTCTAAATACTCATCGCTGGAGCAGACTACTCTAGATTGTTGCTCTGTGTGTGTGTGTGTGTGTGTGTGTGTGTGTGTGTGTGTGTGTGTGTGTGTGTGTGTGTGTGTGTGTGTGTGTGTGTGCACTGCTACCCACGATAAAGCAGCAAAATAAAGAATGGTGTGTTGCCCACCAAGTACAGGTCATCCCAAACTGAGTGTTCCAGATGAACTCACTGAAAAGAAGATCATTACGGAATCCAATCTGCCGACAACCTACCCACCTGCAGAGAACATGAAAGTGAATTAACTCAGGAACCCATTGTCTATGGCAATAAGGCAGGAAGCAAAAAACAGTGAACGGCAAGGCAGGGAGGCGACTACGCATTGAGCGACAGGCAGCAGCAAAGCACATAGGCTGGAGGGCACGGGGGGAGGTGGGTGGGAAGACATATAAACACAAGGCAACAAAGAAAAAGGTAGACAAAAGAGAGTGAAGGAAAGGGCATGGGGCAACGAGGCATGCGAAGACGTGCGGCGGCGAAGGACAAAGGCTGGAGGGCAGGGGGGAGGCGGCTGGGCACACAAAGGCATGAGACAATAGGGCATAGGACGGCATGCAACAGCGAACAACAAAGGCTGGAGGGCATGGGGGAGGCGGGTGGGCAGACGATACACAAGCATACAAAACAGGCAAACCAGGAAAATTTCAAGTCCCAAAAGAACAGAAAGACTGAAAAAAATAAAAACTGATGATGAGAGATTGTTTCATCGGAGGTGCACCAACTCATCGGGAGTCGGAACCCTCGACAATCTGCGGAATCCCCGTCTTGATGGTTTGGGTCATGAACCCTTTGATCCTTGTTGAAGGCAGACTGTCCACGAGCGGAACATAGCAGCAGACATTAACTCAGTGAACCACCAGGCAACAATGCCAGAGTGACCCGACTGCAGATTGCCAAAGACTACTGCAAGGAACGACATGGCAAGCAGACGAGCAGCACGTGAACCGCACAGTGAATCACAAGGCAACACCAACAAGGCAGCCACACTACACGGCACACAAGCGAAAAGAGGGCGCGAACTTCGTGAAGGCACGGGACGCGGATGGGGGACAGGCCAGCAGAGCAGCGCCACACCACACGGTGAACACAGCTGCTTGCCAAGAACAACGCATGAAGCAGACGTGCAGCAAGGCAGCGGCGGAGCACAGACGAGGCAGTCTACACATCCAACACGGAGCAAAGTGGCACAACACCTACTCACATCGCAGGTGAACCCCGCAGACTGTTGGTTCCCACCACGCACTGAGCCAGGGAGTCACTCCGATGGACGTCTGTCATCACCCAGAGACCATATGGACCATGCAGACATCAGGAACAGAGTGGCTCCCCTAAGAGTACTGTAGGCACTCAAAACAACGGACCACCTACTCTTTAGCATTCCTTAAAGGTGCTCACTCAGACACACAGAAAGTACTTTGAAAAAATCAGAAAAAGAGCAAGCAACAAACAAACGACAGACAAACACAAAACAGAAAAAGAACAAGCAACAAACAAACGACAGACATACACAAAACAGAGAAAGAACAAGCAACAAACAAACGACAGACA